AGTCATCGATATCCTCACCCTTTTACAAGTGTAAATGTGAAAAAGACTTACACACAAGCATGTCATATATCTCATTATGAATGATAATACCTCAAATGGTTAATACTAAAGTTTGTGAGAACAGGTAACATTGGTACTGATGGCAAAACCACATGAATCCTCTAGGGCTGGGACGAGTCCAAATTTACTTCCTGGGTACCCAACCCCCTATTACCCAGACCCTACCCGGATACCCACTGTAGAGATACAAAATGTCTGATTGGGAACATTTTTAGAATATCACTTGTAAAATGTACTTAGATACAAGTATTAAATGATCTGGTCATGCATACGCTGGAGTTGACTTAAGTTGTATCTTTATTCAACCATATGAAAAGTCAGAAGGAAAACGAACATTAGAGACTTGTAGTGTAACCATAGAGTTCTAGATAATTTTTGACATTAAAAAAATATATCATGTCACTAACCACGGGTCCGGGGAGTCCTGTGGGTACCTGGGTCCTACTCAGTACCCACCTGACCCGGGTACCCGAGTTACCTGTCCCACCCCTAGAATCCTCCACTCTATGAATGTTTCTATACCTTCCAATGTTGTGAATTAGTGACAAATATGTTTCAGAACATGGTGCATTTCATTTGATAGTAATGTCACATATAACATTTTTAAAACTTTAAATTAAATTATACACATGGTATAACACATTAGTAAAACATTTCTTGTATTGATGTTTGATGCTGTGCTTGTTCTTTAATAAACATTGCATCATGAGCATCGTCCCACTCTGTACAAAGTCACACAATCAACCAAGCCACCGCTCAATGCATTCTCCAACCATGCTTGGAGTTGAACTCGCAATCGAATGACCGTTATGTTTACAAACAAGTGACAACTGCTGTGTCGCCGAATACACTTGCCCCTGCTAAATTATTTTATTTTTTGTCATGGTTATCTCTATCATGTTATTGATATAGTAAGAATGTAAGGGAGAAGTTGATTGATTTTCCGTCAGTCTGCAATCTAGAACCAATGTGATTATACAAACAGAAAGTAAATTTATCTGGAAAAAATGGTCAGTCGTAAACCTTTTCAAAATGAACGGTGATAGCATTCCCAAAGACATAAACAAAAGTATGAACGTTACTACATTTGGGGTTAGAAGGCAAATTTCAAGATTCTTGTAATGACAGCACCCACACTGGTGGCAGCGATGTTACCGAGAGTGTAACGAAGGTGTCAAGCGCTGGGAAGGAGCTTGATGTACAGTGACTGATTACATGGTTATCTCCCCTTACCATATGTACAGTGACTGATTACATGGTTATCTCCCCTTACCATATGCACAGTGACTGATTACATGGTTATCTCCCCTTACCATATGTACAGTGACTGATTACATGGTTGTCTCCCCTTACCATATGTACAGTGACTGATTACATGGTTATCTCACCTTACCATATGTACAGTGACTGATTACATGGTTGTCTCCCCTTACCATATGTACAGTGACTGATTACATGGTTATCTCACCTTACCATATGTACAGTGACTGATTACATGGTTATCTCACCTTACCATATGAACAGTGACTGATTACATGGTTATCTCACCTTACCATATGTACAGTGACTGATTACATGGTTGTCTCCCCTTACCATATGTACAGTGACTGATTACATGGTTATCTCCCCTTACCATATGCACAGTGACTGATTACATGGTTGTCTCCCCTTACCATATGTACAGTGACTGATTACATGGTTGTCTCCACTTACCATATGTACAGTGACTGATTACATGGTTATCTCACCTTACCATATGTACAGTGACTGATTACTTGGTTATCTCCCCTTACCATATATACAGTGACTGATTACATGGTTATCTCCCCCTACCATATGTACAGTGACTGATTACATGGTTATCTCCCCTTAACATATTTACAGTGACTGATTACATGGTTATCTCCCCTTAACATATCTACAGTGACTGATTACATGGTTGTCTCCCCTTACCATATGTGCAGTGACTGATTACATGGTTGTCTCCCCTTACCATATGTACAGTGACTGATTACATGGTTGTCTCCCCTTACCATATATACAGTGACTGATTACATGGTTTTCCCCTTACCATATATACACAGTAAAAAAAGTGTTGCACCCCCTATACTTTTTCATGGAGGGGTGTTTTGAAAGGGTGTAAAGATAACCGAATGAATATTATAACCAGGATTTCGTGTATACCAACAAACCAGTGTATTGTCTATACAATGAACTTAAATGGGGTATTCCATGACCTTATGGCATGTAATAATCTCATGCTGAACTTTTACGAAAAATGAACGAACAACGAAGACGCATTAAGTATGGTGACATCTCAATAATTTTTAGTGACCAAATTCATCCAATAGGGTAAGAATGTCATATGGAGATTTGACGAACACAGTAAGTCAATATTGAGAACTTCCACCAAGCACTTGGATCACAGCTTGAAGTCTTCGTCTCATACTCCTCACCAGACGTTCGAATCGCTCCATGGGCAGCTGCTGCCACTCCTCGTGTAATGCTGCTTCCAATTCACGCAAGTTCTGTGGAGGAGGGTCCCGACGATAAATCAGGCGTCCCAAAATGTCCCATACATGTTCCAGAGGATTCAGATCTGGACTCATTGCTGGCCATGGAATCTGCGTCAGAGCATTGTTGTGGATAACCTGGGTCACAGCTCGTGAACGATGTGGTCTGGCATTGTCATCCATGAATATCGGTCTGGTGGCCAGTGGATGATTGTCAAAATGGGTCACCACAACTGGATTCAGCACCTCTTGGATGTAGCGCTCCCCTGTCAAGTTGCCTCGTATGGTCACTAAATCAAGCTTACAATCAAATGAGAAGCATCCCCAGACCATAACAGATCCACCTCCATATGGTACAGTTGGCATGATGTTTCTTGCAGTATAAGCTGTTCCAGGACGCCTCCATACTCTCACTCTGCCATCCACAACATGCAGAAGGAACTTGCTTTCGTCCGACCAGTGGACTCTTCTCCAGGACCTCAAGTTCCAGTTCTGTCTCAGTCTACACCAGGCTAGACGTAGTCGTTTGTGGTTGTCTGTGAGTTTAGGTCGCTTGATAACCCTTCTGGACTTCAACCCTGCAGCTTTAAGACGATTTCTCACGGTCTGGGTACTGAACTGTTGACGAGGAAGCCAAAGACGTTTCAAGGTTGTGCTTGTAGCAAATGGATGACGCCTTACCACCCTCAACAACGCTCTGTCATCTCTAACTGTGGTCTTACGTGGTCAGCCAGAGGGTCTGCGATTCCTTACATCATTAGTTTGTGCGTGTTTTCTGACCAAACGGCTTATTGTTGAGTAGTGATGTCCGGTTCTTCTGCCAATCTCCTTGAACGAAAGACCTGCTCCATGAAGGCCAATAATCTGCCACTTGACTGCTTCTGACAATCGTCTACCCGGCATTGTGGGTTACAATAAACTGGGCTGTCAGAGAACATCTTTTATAGGCGATGTTGAGCTTAAGAAGATACTGCAATCTGCAAATGTCATGCACCATGCAATTCACGTGCTGATTGCTACGTTTTGGTGATCATCTTCCCTCCGAAAACATTACACATTTAACATCAGATCCCCAAGGAATACCAACCATTAAAACCAGAGTCCGGCGTTTTAAATGTTGTGATGTATCAAACGTATTAATGTGGGGGTGCAACACTTTTTTTACTGTGTATATATATAGTGACTGATTACATGGTTATCTCCCCTTACCATTTATATAGTGACTGATTACATGGTTGTCTCCCCTTACCATATATACAGTGACTGATTGCATGGTTATCTCCCCTTACCATATATACAGTGACTGATTACATGGTTATCTCCCCTTACCATATGTACAGTGACTGATTACATGGTTGTCTCCCCTTACCATATATACAGTCAAGCTCCTCACAGCGATAGTACGTTCCCGGAGCTCTCTATACTATCGCTGCCACCAGTCAAAACTCCCCACTGTGAATAGGTGGCCACAACCATGCTTGGAGTTGAACTCGCAACCGAATGACCATTATGTTTACGAACAAGTGACGATTATCGTGACGCCGAATACACTTATCGCTGCTAAACTACTTTCTTCGTTTGTCAATTTGAATTTTTGTTTCATTAAAACTATCGTATTATTGATATAGTAAGAATGTAAGGGAGAAGTTGGTTGATTTTCCGTTAGTCTGCAATCTCGAACCAATCTGATTATCAAAACAACAAAGTAAATTCATCAGGAAAACATGGTCAGTCGTAAACCTTTTCAAATTGAAATATGATGGCATTCCCAAAGACATAAAAAGAAGTATAAACGTTAGTACATATGGGGTTGGAGGGCAAATTTCAAGATTCTTGTAATGGCCGCGCCCACACTGGTGGCAGCGATGTTACCGAGAGTGTAACGAAGGTGTCACGCGCTGGGAAGGAGCTTGATATACAGTGACTGATTACATGGTTGTCTCCCCTTACCATATATATAGTGACTGATTACATGATTATCTCCCCTTACCATATATATAGTGACCGATTACATGGTTGTCTCCCCTTACCATATGTACAGTGACTGATTACATGGTTGTCTCCCCTTACAATATGTACAGTGACTGATTACATGGTTGTCTCCCCTTACCATTTGTGCAGTGTCTGATTACATGGTTGTCTCCCCTTACCATATGTACAGTGACTGATTACATGGTTGTCTCCCCTTACAATATATACAGTGACTGATTACATGGTTATCTCCCCTTACCATATGTACAGTGACTGATTACATGGTTATCTCCCCTTACCATATGTGCAGTGACTGATTACATGGTTATCTCCCCTTACCATATGTACAGTGACTGATTACATGGTTGTCTCCCCTTACCATATGTACAGTGACTGATTACATGGTTGTCTCCCCTTATCATATGTACAGTGACTGATTACATGGAAACAATGTACCTGATCTTCAATGATTGGGTCTCCAATTTCAGCAAATGGAATTACTCTGGATTCTGACTTTAGCAAAGCCACATCTGGGGGAACCTCCAGTTTGGGAACTGCAAACATAACAGCAAAGGTATTATTGAAAAACTTATGGGATTAATATGTAGACAATTTATGTCTGTCCTTCCTAACATGACAGATAACAACCAAGACAATAGTTTCAGTTAGAGTGAGTGAGTGAGTGAGTATGGTTTTACGCCGCTTTTAGCAATATTCCAGCAATATCACGGCGGGGGACAACGGAATGGGCTTCACACATTGTACCAATGTCTGGAATTGAACCCGTGTCTTCGGCGTGACGAGCGAATGCTTTAACCACAAGGCTACCCGACCGCCCCAGTTTCATATTTATCGGATTGGGTTATGACATCGGTAACGCAACCCATTATATCATCAATTAAGGATTGACCTCAATATTACCTCATTTATGGAGGTATAAAGTAAAAATTGGTGTGCACTACGTATCTGATTTTCACAGTGTGCACATCGGTTTTGAAGTTCATAACTCTATAACTGCAAAAACATGTTGAAGTCAATTCTTATAAATAAATTCACAGACTGATTTTTTGATCATTAACACATAAAACTAAAGAAAACAGTACGAAATGCATGACATAACTCTGAGCAATAATGCCAAAGATCCTATAATCAGCCAATTGGGAAACAGTAGTCCATTGGTGGGCATCGCCTTGTTTGTTCTTCGGTTTTTTTAAACATAAGGCGAAAAAAAATAATATCTTGGTTCTCAGGCACCACTCACATCATTATAAAGTTTGTTGCACATTTCGTTTTTATTTCCATTTTTAAAAAACCCCAACAAAATCCTTAAATATTCCAGGTACAATGGTAGTCAAATTCTGTATTCCAGTATTACACTCATCAAGGAATACATATATGTAGGGAGGCCCTTTCCCAGGTTGATTGTACACAACTATTTATTTGGTTACACAGACGTGTATTTGGTTATATACTAGTTTGAACGATTCCCCCCCCCCTCCCCGAAAAAACACACCAAAAAAACAAAACCACACCGCCCACCAAAAACAACCCCTCCCCTCAAAAACAAAACAAAACAAAACACACCGCCCGCCCACACTATATTTTCAAAAGCCATTGCCTGAGAGCAATATTTGTATTTTTTTAAGCCCAAATGTAAAAGGTTTTGGTTGGTTAACCAATCAAATGTCATGGAATCACTTGCAATTTATAACTTATATACACACCCTGCTTTCTGGCCTTCTCCAGACGAGATGTTCCCTCGTCCCAGCAGCCCTTGCATGCTTCTAGTTCCGCCTTAATACCTGCCATGAAGGACACCCACTTCTCATTGGCCGCATGTTCAGATTCTGATTGCTGATTGGTTGGAACATCTTCTAGTCTAGACTCAAGTTGACTGGCTAGATCTCGAACCCTAGGGAGAATAATTAGCAGAAGAAAGAGTGAATGTTATTTCACGCTGCAGCCACGTATCAGTGTTACTACTGTAATCTGGATCCATGGGATCCAGGTAGGAATATAGGTCCCCAGCAACCCATGCTTGTCGTAAGAGAGGACGAAATGGATTGGGGTGTCAGACTAGGTGACTTGGTTGATGCATGTCATTGTATCCCAACATGTGATGAGTGAGTGAGTGAGTTGGGTTTAACGCTGCTTTAAACAGTATTCCAGTTATATCACGGCGTGTCAGCTTAATGTGGGAGGAAAGCCCGAAGTGATGCAGGTCTCAGACGTTTACCATTTCGGTGAAACCCATGAGCACGGGTATGGTGCTGACAAACCTAGAAACATAATTGGGGCAAACCGGGATTCGAACCCACAATCATAGGTTTCTGGCGTGCCCAAGGGACACAACTCTGCACAGCGAATCGGCGCGCCTTAGACATATGATGAGTACCACAACTAACTATATACCAAATTTCATTACATTTTTAGACCCGTGAACATCCGAGGTACAATATGTCTTAGCAACCCGTGCTTGCTGTAAAAGGCAACTATGCTTGTCGTAAAAGCTGACTAATGGGATCGGGTGGTCAGGCTCACTGACTTTGTTGATGCATGTCATATATTCCATGTCATGGATCGATGCTCATGATATCAATCACTGGATTGTCTTGTTCAGACCAGAATGTTTATTGACTGCCCTTATTTAGCTTGACTAATGTGCAGTGTTAGATAACAAACAGCAATCAGCAAACAAACTTGCATCCGGGTCAGTCAAACCAGTGGCTGACAGCATGAAGAGTGATCAATGTTATTGGGTACGATGACATACAACCATCCCAGTCACAAAGTACATTCTAATGATCCAATCCCAGAAAGTAAGCTCTTACAACACAGTAAGACCCAATATGCCCTCAAATCCCAGTGTGTGGATTTGCCATAATTTAGTTTCCGCCAAGTAACTATTTTAGAATATATAATTTTTGGTTTTACATGATACAGAATAGTTTAGAAAAAAGAGATTATTGCACTCATATGTGTTTCATAATGATTTTACGAAATAAGTGTCATAATACTTGTATTTACCAAGTGAGAGCTTTGGTTATGCATGAATTCTTACACAAGTTTCATAAAATCCGTATGACATTCATGCGAGCATAATGATCTTAATTTACTAAACCCTTCTGTATCAAGTAAAACCACCAATATTCATAAAGGCTTACGTCAATTACGTCTGGATGACATAAACAATACACTGGTGTGAGAAGTGATATTTGCACTAGTGTACATATGATTTTTATTAACTCGGTTATTTCTAACACTATGCATGATATTGATAAATATCCCACCGAGAGATTGTCGCTTGCAGATGAAGGTCAAGGCTGTGTACAGCTATATAGAACTCTTCTGTCTGTGAGGAACACTTGTTTTGAGGAGATCGACCTTTGGGTTGTCTCCCCTGTGGACTGCTCCTATGGAAGTCATACAGGCGGCGCAATGATAACTCTTTTGTCTGTAAAGTCCTGCCAAGGTCACTTGTAAGATCAATTGTGTCAAATGGGTTGCTCCCGTCTGGAAAATGGCAATACCAACATCACACAGTAGTCATTAACGAATTATACAGGACAGGGATAATTCTGATATGGGTAAAAAAGTTTTGTAAGTTTTGTAAAATGTTACTTTACCAAATGCAATGGTGATAAGGTGTATCCAAAATGACTTCTGATGCTAACACTGTTTATTGTTTCAAAAGGACCGACATAAATACGTCCAGCAAACTATTTAGAGAGACAGATTTCTCAAGATGGGTCCTTCCTGTAACATACCTCCATCAGTAGGCTGGGAATTCTGGGAGAAGCACAGCGCCAGTCTTCGGACAAACTCGGACAGATGCAGGTGGAACAGTTCAGTCATGGCCTGGTGAAGTGAGTGAGTGAGTGAGTGAGTGAGTGAGTGAGTGAGTGAGTGAGTGAGTGAGTGAGTGAGTGAGTGAGTGAGTGAGTGAGTGAGTGAGTGAGTGGGTGGGTGGGTGGGTGGGTGGGTGTTCTAGCACCACTTTGACACAGCTTTGCAGCTACATCTTTGCATTTTAGTGTTTGCTCAAAGTGGCAAAAGACAATTAAACATAATTCAAACCAAGCTAACATACATGAGAGTTGATTGACAACTTCTGAGCCCCGCATAAAAAGACTAGAAATTATTTATTTTCAACACAATCCCCTTCCACATTGACACACTTTTGCCAACTTTCTTGGAGGGATTTTATTCCAGTTTCATGGAAGTCCTCTTCTTGGATGTCCACCTTCTCCACAGCTGCATTGACATCACTTTTCAAGTTGAAATGTGTTCCGGTTGGAGCCTTCTCCATGTTTGGGAAGAGATGGCAGTCTTACACCGCCAGATGGCTGCTGAAGGAGTTCTAAGCCAGACTCATGGTTTGTAGCCATGGCAATGACTGATTTGTTCACTGACATATTGTCCTGATGGAGGAGCACACTCTTTCCATAACGACACCCTCGGCATGTCAGAACACTGAGGTAATAACTTTTCCAGCTGATGAGACAGACTTTGCCTGCTTTGGTGGTGGTGGTAATGTCAAATGCTTCGACTGTTTTGATAATTGTCTGAACACAGGTTTTATCCATATTCACAAATCATTGCAAGAACCTTTCTGGATCAGCCCCAAACAGAGCTGGATTATCATGAGGCTTGAGGCGCCTGGTGAATTTTTTATCAGATGTCATAACCTTTGGAAACCGAGCTAATACTGTCTTTATTGCCAAAGTTTCAGTGGTAAAGGAATATACTCCCTCCACTGAAATGTCTGATGAACTTGTAATATGACATTCAGTCAACACCATAAAGTGAATTCTCTGGATCATTTCTGGGTTGCTGACATCACAGGCCTTCCAGGATGGGGGTCACTTTCAAGGCTCTCACTGCCACGCTTACACTTACCGGTCTCTTTACAAATGTTATGCTTATATCTTTATGGGCGGCTTTTCGTGTTAAGCCCTTTTTCTGCAAGAACTTGGTCACTGCACATTCCTCAAGTTCGCTGACCCATGCCTATTTTAGTTACTTGTCACAATCTGCACAACTGAGTCAAGTGTTTGTGGATGAACCTCTATGACATCATGTAATGTACACACAAAACAATCCGCTACACAATTCCTTCTATGTGAGGCTCAGAAACTATATCATTTATCATTTGCATGCAGATATTGGAACGAAACATAACATTTTATCAATTGTTATTCTTCGTAGAGTTTGGTCATCAATTCTACCTAAGGCAAAGCTGTTTCTTCCACAAACCTTTGCATAATCATGTTATTGCTGAAACATTTCCTGCCAATCAACATGTAAACGGAACATATGACTCAGGTGGTACATGACTCACCTTAAGAGCTGCCACGGAGTACCCATCAGTCAGGTGGTACGTGACTCACCTTGAGAGCTGCCACGGAGTACCCATCAGTCAGGTGGTACGTGACTCACTTTGAGAGCTGCCACGGAATACCCATCAGTCAGGTGGTACGTGACTCACCTTGAGAGCTGCCACGGAGTATCCATCAGTCAGGTGGTACGTGACTCACCTTGAGAGCTGCCACGGAGTACCCATCAGTCAGGTGGTACGTGACTCATCTTGAGAGCTGCCACGGAGTACCCATCAGTCAGGTGGTACGTGACTCACCTTGAGAGCTGCCACGGAGTACCCATCAGTCAGGTGGTACGTGACTCACCTTGAGAGCTGCCATGGAGTACCCATCAGTCAGGTGGTACGTGACTCACCTTGAGAGCCGCCACGGAGTACCCATCAGTCAGGTGGTAGAGCACCCTCTCCTCCTTATCACCCCTGTCTTCCTCATCCTGGGGAGACTGTAGACATGGTCCAGAGTTCTCCTCATCCTGGGGAGACTGTAGACAGGGTCCGTAGTCCTCCAGGGCGATCCCCGCCAAGTAGTGGGAGATGGAGTCTATCTCGGGGATCAGGGGATGTCTGGGAGGAGAAATGTCTACCTGTGTATTTCGTTTTTCAAATCTTAAAAGTCTCTGGGCTGATTCCACACAGCGATCTGTTATAACTGTTGTAAGCATAGAACCTATGATGGATTGAGTAAGCTGAGAGTGCTTTGGAATGGGGTCTATTAAATAAAAAGTCAACTGTCCCTGCATATAAATGATAACAACTAGTGCCACAGTCCTGTAGATGCTGTAGCTCACCTGAATAGGCAGTCAAAAGATGGCCACCTAACAAAGTTACTGTCAGCATTGATATTCACATATTTCCTGCATAAATACTGAGGACTTAAAACACAAAATATGATCAAAAGAGTGCCAGGGAGTGCATTTTGAGAGAATGTCACAAATAACATGTGATGAGTACCACAACGAACTAAATATATACCAAATTTCATTACATTTTTAACAGAAATGATTGAGGAATGTCCATTGATAGATTTTTAAATATGGATGCCATGCCAGCCATATTTGAAATAGGATTCAAACCTTTTGAAGAAAATGGGGTGTCATCATTGGACCATTCTACAGAGAAACTGTATAAATGGAAAACACATGACTCAAGCCCGACAAACAGGCAAAGACACAAACTCACTTAACTTTTTGTCAGGTGAGCTAAAACCAGCCCTGAATGTACTTACTATGCAAAGGAATGAATCAAGAAAACTGAATGCTACTTCCTGAAGCATACGAGTGAGTAACTGAGTGCAAAACAAGCAACATTCAGACAAGAATTTGTTGTGGCAACTCTCTTGCAATGTTCTGCCAAAACTCTTGCAAAGTTCTGAAAACACACCAGCAACTTTCTAGCAGCTCTCTAGCGATGCACCGTCAACATTCTAGCAGTGCTCTATGAACTTTTCTCCATCCCATCTTCCAGAGGCAAGAGAGTTAACTGACTATAAAAGTCCAGTTTCCAACCTTGCCAAACTAGGCTGGAATTTCCAGGCTCGATCGTAGCGCCACCAGTGGCTATTACGAGTTATGTCCCTGCTATGTCTCTCCTATTGACCAATCAGATTCCACCTCTCATACCACTTGCATTTGCTTCAAACAAAATGGCAGCGCCCAGTCAAGATGATCTGATCGGTCATCAAGATCTAAATTGTAATAAAGGGGCCTTACCTTGTGTAGCAGGGCGTGGAGTCATCCCACAGATGACATCCTTACCTTGTCAGCTTGCTGACGGGGTTAACCTCTTTGGTCATGTGGACAAGGCGTCCGACCTCGGATCAGAAGGTCCGTGGTTCGAATCCCATCACGGGACTCGGAAATTTTATGGCCGCTACATTGGCGCCCAACGTGGGGCTGAGCACGTTCATATTTAATTTGAGCAAAATAAGCCTCAGTACCCTACTATGCGGCCCGGGAAATGCCTTCTGTTGACGGGGGAGTATGTAGCAGGGCGTGGAGTCATCCCACAGATGACATCCTTACCTTGTCAGCTTGCTGACGGGGTTAACCTCTTTGGTCATGTGGACAAGGCGTCCGACCTCGGATCAGAAGGTCCGTGGTTCGAATCCCATCACGGGACTCGGAAATTTTATGGCCGCTACATTTGCAAAGTGCATCAGATAACTTGAGCACCTTGATTAAAAACATGAAAAGATTTGCAAAATATCTGTCGACTGCCAGTTGGGGGTACACATGCTTTGCAAATCCTTCAGTCAACCGAATTCTGCACATTGAAATCCATGTTGTTTACGAACCGGACGTTTAGTTCGTTTAGCAATTTTGATTGGACGATGTGTAGATTCGTTAGTCCAGTCAAAATGTAACAAAGAATTCCCAGCCTAGTTCGTGAAGCGTGGACACTGGACATTTATAGTCAGTTAAATTCCTTGCCTTGGAAAGACGTCTCCATCAACACTCCCCTCTTACCTGTGGATCAGCTTGAGTGTGGTCTGCCTCAACACCAGCGTGGCGGCCCGGGATGTAGCAAACAGACACTTGCGGAGTTGTGGACACTGCCTCCTGGTGGCAGCAGACGGCTTCCTGTCCAGCTGACTCACTGCGGTCTTCTGACTCACTCTGATGTCAACACAGCAGTCAATGAGAAACACAGTCACCATCTTGTTCATGTCTTGTTTGTTTTGTTTGTTTGTTTGTTTGTTTGTTTGTTTGTTTGTTTGTTGTTTAACGCCTCACTCAGCAATATTCTATATATATCATGGCGGTCTATAAATAATCGAATCTGGACCAGACAATCCAGTGATTGACATCTAGAGCATCGATCCACGCAACTAGAATACGATGACATGCATCAACCAAGTCAGCGAGTCTGACCACCCGATCCCGTAAGTGACCTCTTGCGACAAGCATAGTCGCCTTTTACGGCAAGTATGGGTTGCTGAAGACCTATTCTACCCCAGATCTTCACAGGTCATCTAAGTTGACCACACCAGTCTAAGTTAAACCATTATGGTGATGTCATGCTACTGCTGATGCAGTTGATTCTGAGACAGGAAATGACTGACATTTCTGAACCTGTATTTCAAACAAGTAAAACTGGTGCAACTGTAGGTGATTGGGCAAATATATTGAGAAATTATATATCAACCATAACATGGTTTTTGTCAGAGAAATCATTTGAATCTGTGGATTCAGACAATAGAATCAACGCGCCCCTTCTGAAATGGATCTAGCCCAACTGGAAATTTTAGTTCTTAGTTCTCTCTTAGTTCTCTATAGTAATCCTCTGTATCATAAGTCTTAGCAGTATCTTGAGGGGTTGCTGTCCCCAGGGACAAATAAAACCACATACATACATTCAGAGAAATTAAGCTCTGATATTCTCAGAGGAAAACTAAAAAATGTAAAAGTTAACATTGGACAGTGTTTAATGACAAGCTCACCTGAATTTCAGTCAGGTGAGCTAAAAAAGTGATGCAGGTCTCAGACGGTTACCACTTCGGTGAAACCCACGAGCATGGGTATGGTGCTGACAAATGCAACCCTACAAGAAACATCACTGAAGACATCCTACTGCTCTTACGACTTGATAGTTAGACAACATGGACAACAGAAGATGTCATATCATATGGTTATCATATGCAATGAGAAGCAACACTGAACTAACAAGGTAAAACCTCTGGCGACCAGTTCTGTTTCTTGTATCAAGCGAAGACTCTTGCGTGTCACGGTCAGGAGACTGAGGAAGGTGTCCAGGCAACGTGTGAACATGTTGTACAGTCGGTCATACTGGCGCCGCCTTCTGTACTCCACCCCCTGTACAACTCCGTACACCACGCCCAACACCGCCACAGCTCCTGCCACCAGGTCAGAGGTCACACTGTAGGGGGAGCCACTGTCAGTCAGACGTGCTGCGATGTATGCTACCATGCATGGTACAAGGACTGAAGGAAATCTGTAATACAAGACATCGTTGAGAAACAGTGAAGTCGACTGCTTTACACACGGGAGTATTTTATAGATTTTATTGGTGTGGCTAGGGGTGATCAGGTAGCCTAGTGGTTAAAACATTTCGCTCGTCATGCCGAAGACTCGGGTTCGATTCCCGACATGGGTATAATGTGTGAAGTCCATTTCTGGTGTCCCCTGCCATGATATTGCTGTAATGTTGCTAAAAGCGGTGTAAAACCATACTCACTCAGTCACTATTGTAGTGGCTAGAGTAACTATCACATTCAACTCTCAAACTTAGGATCACTCATTGTTGAGGATCTATATTGCTAAGGACCATCTCTGTGGTCTAATGGACAGAGTGTCTGCCGTGAGAGTGGAACGTCGGTGGTTGGATCCCTGGCCGCGTCATACCAAAACATGTTAAAATATGGTACTTGTTGTTACCCTGTCTGGCTTTCGGCATTAAGGGGATAATTTAAAAGACTGGTCAACTCAGAGTGTCAGCTTACTGTGGCCTAGTGGGGTATCCATGTTAAAACTGCGGCATGGTATCTCAATAGGCTAGCACTATAAAACCAGCATAAATCTGAACAAGAACAAGCAGCCAACATTTCACTGCACCAGGTCAGCATTAGTTTTCTTTGTTTGTTGTTTAACGACGCACTCAGCAATATTCAAACTATATGACAGCGGTCTGTAAATAATCGAGTCTGGACCAGACAATCCAGTGATTGATGTCATGAGCATCGATCCACCCAATTGGGATACGATGACATGCATAAGGCAAGTCAGCGAGCCTGACCACCTGATCCCGTCAGTCGCCTCTTACGACAAGTATAGTCGCCTTTTATGGCAAGCATGGGTTGCTGAAGACCTATTAGTCACAACAAAGCAAAGGTATATGGTATTCCAGGGGATCTCACATGGCACGGAAGTGCAGTGTACTTACATCAGTTTCACCCAGAGCCTGTGAGATGTGGAGGGGCGTCGACTGTCGGGTGGGGCTGGCTCCTCCCCGACAAAGTCCTGCAGGAACACCTGGTCGTCCTCCACGAGGACCCTGGAGGACCGCAGCGTAGACAGCACCTGGTCCTTGTACCGTTGGACCTGTCATGGAGCAAATGAGAGAACGTGTGAACCATGTACCTGTCAAGATGAGAGTATGAGCAAATCAATCACATATGTTAACTGGCCATCAAGTTTCAAACAAGGGCAGAGCCTCCCCCTACTGACCTCTGTGTCTGTCTGGTGTTTGTGTTTACGGAGCAGCGTGTAGAGAAAGTTGAAACACTTCCGGCAGATCTGTGACACCCTGGACACGGCCGGGGGCTGAAACAGTTTGAGTGTCAGTGCTGAGGGCTGTTTATAAACCAACAAACATAAGAACATATACATGCCAAGAAATTCAACTTAAACCAACCCTTCTCATTGTGTTCTACTTCACTGTTATCATCAACGAAAGTTAGTTCTGATTTTTTAATGAACGTATAACACATCATAAAAAAAGAACACAATTATTAAAATATGAAAATCATAATTGAACATCTTCCTTCAATGATTCGACTGATTACAATTTAATGCTCCTGGATAATTGTTTAAAATTATTTTAATCTCTGCAGAATGAACTCAGTCTGAGTATTGAATTTCTCCATGACATACGACAGGTGCTTGTTCTTGCTCTGTTTGGCGGGTGCTTTTCCCGTTGATTCGGACTGGTTCTGCGTCTATGCCCTCCACCCCTGCCTCCCGCAGGTGCTGGTACAGGGGGGAATTCTAAAAAAACATTCCAGTTATTATTTAGGACTTCACACTAAAACAGTCGAATGTTGTACCTAAATCACTTGGTACTCAGCGATAGTGGTATTATCTATTATCCTATATGTCTTTTACAAACCACTGAAAACATTTAAACAATCATTTGTAAATGAGTGACACTCAATTGTCGTGATCGAAAACAGAACCGCTTGGATGGCTCAATCAAACAATGTCTTTCCCAAGCACGTTATCCAATCTACTTGAACTAGAAAGTATATGCGATTATCATAAACCAAACAGAGCTTGTTGTTACAATAGATCGCTGATTATGCCTATAAATACCTCGAAAATTACATCTTCATCCAAATCGTCTACCATCATCGCCAAAGATAATATTTGAGAGTGACCTCCCTTTGACCACAATTTCGTTACCCTCAAATATGAGGGGTTCATTTTATGGCGCTTCTTTAGTTATTTTTTTATGAGACGAGGGCAAACCATTAACTTGGAATTCCGAAGTGCTTATTGTGCACGTTTCGTACAGTAAATAACAGCTACACCGGGCGTTTATATATATGTTCCTATTTTTAACATAACATATTTTATGATATGTGAATTTTAATGAAATATAAATACAATACTAAAAACACTTGCTGTTTTCCCAGAATCGCCACATATTTTATTTAAAACAATATTTTGGGTGATGAATTTATAATGTCGCTTATTTTACTAAAAAGATTTCACTACAAAACTACAATCTTGCCAACCAAAAAACTTCCCAGGCATCCTTTAGAAAATATAAGATACACGGTACAAACACTAGAAGAAGAAATATCTATGGCCTCTCATATCTGGTTGTGATCAGAAATCACGTTCACTACGCTGGGGTAAAGCATCGTTCAAGAGAGATCAAGACAGCATATTTGTATACATCAAATAAGACAAATGATGATTTGTTTATTATTTTAATGGGAATTAGGTCCCATGAACGAACATCCTGGTTGAATTGATCTTCAGCAACCCATGTCAGTAATACATGTTTATTGTAAGAAGCGACTATGCTTGTCGTAAGAGGCGACGAACGGTATCGGTGGTCAGGCTCGATGACTTGGTTGATGCATGTAATCGTATCCCAGTTGTGTAGATCGATGCTCATGATGTCAATCACGGGATTGTCTTGTCCAGACTTGAATATTTACAGACCGCCGTCATATAGCTGGAGTGCGGCGTTAAAACTACAAACAAACAAACAACGTGAGGTATCGGTACATATACCAAAAGCAGCGATTTTAGTTAATCTGATAAGCTGTAGGGGAAAGAATTGAAGCTCACATTGGTAGTGATCAACACCATACACGCATACGAACGAAACTGTTTAAACTTTGATGTTTTAGACTGTAAGTGAATTTCCAAAGCTCAAGGAAATCGTGCGATAAAAAATTACGTCCTCTTAGATGAAAGGTTTCTATTTTCAAGAATGTTTTTCCGCATCCTTGCCTAAAGAGCGAAACTTGTGACGTGATTTATTTGTCATATGTGATTTTTGTCATTTTGAGGAATATTTGGCGGTGGTGTTAACTTTCTCATTGTCCAGGTGTGCATGGCCCTCAAGGTTAGTGGTGAAACAGTTTCTTATAATGTTTAACAATGGACACACACCCTCAGTTTCTACGGGCCTGTAAGTTACATAGTTCTGTATCCCGTGAAGATACGGGGTAGAATAGGTCTTCATGATCAGCAACCCATGCTTGACATAATAGGCGACTATGCTTGTCGTAAGGGGCGTCTAACGGGATCGGGTGGTCAGACTCGCTGACTTGGTTGATGCATGTCATCGTATCCCAAATGCGTGGATCGATACTCATGATGTCAGTCACTGGATTGTCTGGTCCAGACTCGATTATTAACAGACCGCCGTCATATAGCTGGAATATTGCTGAGTTTAGCGTTAAACAACAAAGAAACGAAAACAAAACATAGCTCTGTATACCGTTAACATTGGTGGTTTCAATGTATGCAAAAAGATACTTTGTTCCATGTATAACGTGTTATCTTAAGAAATTGAATTATTACTTCACAGGACTTAAATCGAGTATCACTATCGTACATTTCATTTACTGTGAGCAAGTTAACACCGACAGAGGCAAGCTACCTCACTTCCCCCTGAAACCTGACACCATCACTAGTGTCGGTCCTCCCGTCTCCCCATGTCCCCCAGCCGTAATCACCCCGTGTCGTAATGAGACGTCCACACAGCGCTCGACCCCGTCACCTCAATCTTCTATCTATGTCGTCTATAGCCCGTACATTCTTCAACCTGAGATGTGTACTCGGGACTTAAGAGGCATTCATTCAAATCCAACCTTCTCCCGTTTCATTTGCACCTATTTGCACAGTAAACATACTCCCCAGGTTGCAAGCTCGTCAACCGCGGACGTTTTTTTTCAACGTCGGCGTAGGGGGATGGTACTATCACTGAGGTTTGATGAAGAACATTGATACAGTGGGATTGAGAGAAGAAGTAAGGACAAAAGACATACATCAAGATTTGTCTTAAGGTGTAACAGCTACGAAAGGTAGGTTTACGTTCTCATTAGCGTAACGATATATATTCTTATCTCATTCATGTTTCATATTATTAGAATAATTTCGGTTAATTGACCTTTTTTTCCTCGTGAGTCATGTAACCAGGGGCATTTAATAGACAAAAGATTCATTGACCTTGATTGAAACGATTATGCGTTATGTTATCAACAGGTAGCACCCCGGGGATAAACTCAGTTTCGCAGTTGAAATATGTATTGTGTTCTACCCGCAAGGCGCACGTGCACCTGCAGTTGTCACAATTAATAGCCGACTGGTGCTAACTGAACCTCTTCAAACAGCACTGTTACAAATAAATATGACAAATAAAATGATAGGGAGCCAATGCGGTCGTTAAAACTGATTATTGATTTGCAATTTTGAACGGATCAAAAGACCACTCACTTATTTTGAACGCGTAAAACGCTTCAGAAGATGTTATTTTCAACATGTTCACGAAGATGCAAGGACAGAAACGTAATGTGTATAATGCGGGTTGATTATTAGCGAACGATTTAATTTTTTTGTTTTAACCCAGGAATGAATATATGACACTTGTATTTTAAAAAGTTCATTTTTATGTCGCATCAACCATATAGCGACGAATTGTAAAGGGGTGTGTGCTTTGTGAAGAGACAAGGTTCTGTCACTAGACAAGACTACGTGGAAATGATGAGTTTTGTCACGAAATCCCTCATAGAAGCATCTCATGTAGCACACGGGTTATGTGGGCAACACGGTATTTACCCTGCATGTTCCGATCTACCTTCTAAATCTGCTGATGTCAAATGTGGCTGTCGCGGCAGGGGATTCCGTGACGACGCATCTCATTACCGCCGCTCCTGTCGTTGACGTATATTGTGTACACACCCGACAGCGTTACGTTGATCTTACGTATTAACCACGCCACGTGCCTGCTAGGGTATGCCCATATATGGCGTTACATATTTCGGGGATGTTCAAGTTAGTCTGTGCAGGATTTTGTAGCCAGGTACGAGGAGGTTGGTTTCACCGTTACCATGACGATGTACGTACAAGCGGGTGTCTGGAGGTCAAGGCCACCTCATTTCAATTACGCTTTGTGCAGGAAATGTAATTGTGTGTTATTTTTTAAGACGCATGACAAACATACAATATTTGCTAAACGCTGACAAAACCACCACTGGAGACCAGTACGCCGCACGGGGAGCCGTCTGGTGGGGAAGCACTGGTGCGGCATGAAACAACACCCACTCTTACTCTGAATATTTGAAAACAATGGGAAGAATGTACATAAACTAGAACCCTTAACTATGACGTAAGAAAGGGCGACAGTAGAAACAGTTATAGCAGCAGAAGTAGAGCTACCAGGTGCGACGTAGTAGTACTATAGTAGTAGCAGTAGTAGTAGTAGTAGTAGCTGTAGTCGTAGTAGTAGTGGCGGCAGTTGTAGTAGCAGTAGTTGTTGTAGTAGCAATAGCAGTAATAGCAGCAGCAGGAGCAGTAATAATGATTGTAGTGGTAGTAGTAGGAGTGGTGGTGGTAACAGCAGCAGTAGTGGTGGTAGAAGCCATAGTGCTAGTGGTAGAAGCAGCAGCAGCAGCAGTAGTAGTAGTAGTAGTAGTAGCGGTAGTTGTAGTAGCAGTAGTTGTAGTAGCAATAGCAGCAGCAGGAGCAGTAATAATGATTGTAGTGGTAGTAGTAGGAGTGGTGGTGGTAACAGCAGCAGTAGTGGTGGTAGAAGCCATAGTGCTAGTGGTAGAAGCAGCAGCAGCAGCAGCAGCAGCAGCAGTGGTAGTAGTAGTAGTAGTAGTAGCGGTAGTTGTAGTAGCAGTAGCAACAGCAGTAGTCATAATGATTGTAATAGTAGTAGTAGTGGTTGGTTGTAGAAGTAGTAGTAATAATAGTAGTGCTAGTAGCAGCAGCAGTAGTAACAGTGATGTGGTCGAAGTTGCTGTAGTGGTAGTAGTGGTGTTGGAAGTTGCTGTAGCTGTAGCTGTAGCACGACCATGACATATGACACATGACGTTGGGCGTGTTCCAGGAGATTACCTGACGAGGGACGGTGCGCATGTGTGGACATGTTTCTATGTAGGTATAGTGGACACTTACTATATGCTTAACAGGATTCAGTCTGACCTCTGACCTCTGAAGGTGAACCATGTCGGCAATGCCAAGACCGAGTTAAACAGTTAGAGATTAAGGGTGAAATGTGTCATGTTAATGTTGTTGGAAGGCTGGAGGTCAAGCATGGACGGGACTGACCGGACGGTGAAACCTCGTCATTGATCGGACACCCAACATTACTGACTGTTACTGTTGAAATAATAATAAGAGTAATAATAATGTTTTATTTATCCAGAGCCTCTTGCCCAAGGGGTGAAAACACATTATATAATTTATTACAACATCCTTCAAATCATAAGCGAATTTCTTTGGATTCATGGAGCGGTGGGGTAGCCTTGTGGTTAAAGCGTTCGCTCGTCACGCCGAAGGCCCGTGTTCGACTTTGGTTCCCCAAATGGGGACAATGTGTGAAGCCCATTTCTGCTTGCTGGAATATTGCTAAAAACCGGCGTAAAACCACATTCACTCACTCTTGATTCATCGCATAGAGTTTGAAAACACAAGATATTTGGATGAAGGATGAGCTCCATGCTTGTGTGTGTGTGTGTGTGTGTGTGTGTGTGTGTGTGTGTGTGAGGGACGTAATGTATTCTTAATCATCCATACGCCACACAAACCAACACAACTTCATCGTCGACATTTGTGCATCTTCCCGAGGCAAGGGAGTTAACTGACTTTATAAGTCGATTTTCCATGGAAACTGGACGTTTA